TAGGGCAGGCCGGAAGAAAATTGTTTACAGTGAGCACACAGATTAAGAAGATCAAAGAGCGCTATCCTGACTTTAGACTGCGAGCAGTCTCTCTTTTTCTTCAGATTTAGGGAGGGAGTGCACGCGCGTGAGAGCGTCAAGTGGCAAAGCCGCGAGACGCGAGAAACAAGGGTGGCTTCAGTTACGCGCGTGGCCATTTGCTTGTCTCGCGCATTTCGCTAGACGGAAAAAAAGAGAGACTTCTCGTAGTCCTTTGAGCCTTACACTGAACAAGATGCAATGCGTAAGCCTTTTTTTAAACAAGCAAGAAACCGAATAAATTGAACGATGCACGCTGTTTTTTTTTTCTTCAAGCTGAGCGGCCAACAGATTCCGTTAGCGGGATAGGAACAAACATTTTTGGAATTCTTGGGGCTATAACTTTGTTTCCTATAATGGCATGTTTCTGAAATTGATACAAGCAACAATACTTGATTTTAGAAATATTTTGTATTAAGTGCTAGTATGGTTACCAGTCACGTGACTCTATGGTGGCCAATTAAAAAATTTCTCCTTCAAAAGTATGGAACGTGAAAGTGTGATACTTTGCAGAAATTTGCAGAAATACAGTGCATACAAAATTGAAGAACTTGTCCGATTTGAATTCTCAAATTTCATTTTGTGACGTCACAAAATTGGCTTTTTGGTCATGCGCAATACTAATCCAAAATATGAAGAATTTAAAACAATAACTTGAGAAAAATAGAATAGTTAAAGTCTCAACTCAGTGTAATTGTCTTCTATTGTCTAAGAGATGTTGGTAACATTCCATGCAAATTGTAAAAAATAGTTTGGACAAATTTGTGGCCGATTTTAGAAGTAATAGAGGGTCATTTTAGGCCCCTTTGGTGCGTTCCATTTGCGCTCCGTGTGCGTTCCCTTTATTAATAAGCATAAGGTTCGAGTCCATGACGTCACCCATTGTTATAACCTAGGGAGAAATGCGTTCCTCCATGCTAATTAAGTGCCTAGTCAGTGTCTAGCAAGCTAGGTAAAAATGCGTTCCTCCATACTAATTAAGTGTCCTCCTCCATATATAATGAAGTGGATAGTCGTTTCTTGAAATAACACAATATGAACAATAGGCTTGCCTCGACTTGCTCAGTAAGTAACTTGTGCCCGGTTTAAACGTCTATTAAAAGAGAAATAGCATACTATCTTTTCTACTAAAGGATTTTTGGCAAACGAAACAGAGCCAACTCATGTCAACTCCTCAGGAGCAGAATGTAGACTGAGAAAGAGGTAAAGAGGTAGAATGTTGCGCATTTATAAAGGTTTTCAGGCCATAAAATTCCATTGTTTTTCCCCCACCACCACCGCCGCCACCACATTTCTATTGTTATCCCTGCACCACCACCGCCGCCACCACATTTCTATTGTTTTCTATCCTTCGCCCACTCGTTTCATTTTTTTTTCTCCACGAAGATTTAATCAAGAACAAAAAGTTGTCAAGTGATTTAATAGAAAAGCAAAAAGGCCACCAAAATTTAGAAAATACTTCCGATAACGAGAGTCATAATGAGGAGAGTTCATCGGATATTGAAAATCAGGAGGAGGAGGAGGAGGAAGTGGCTTCTGAGAACGGTGTTGAAGCTGAAGGCACCCAAGAGAGCGACAACGACACTGAAAACGACAGTCAGGAAACAGAAAGTAGTAGCCCTGAAACGTCCACCACCTTTCACTCTAAAAGTCCCTATGCTCCCTTGGCTTTTTTCCTGTGGAGCTAATTTGTATTCAACTTTGGGCTTGTGAACTCGCATAATTAACTGACTAACGGTGCGTGAAACGCAGAGACTTTAATCTTTTTTCATGTCCTCGAGGTATATAAGAGAAAACGGTTTTGTAATAGTCAGACAAAATTTGATATAGAGAGTTTTCAGCTCCACTTTTGTGTATATGTGTGTGTGTTTTGTTTATATATAACCGATATTTAGCGCTAAATAAGATATAGGAAGCCGTTTCTCGCGTTGCTAGGTGATTGCTCCTATTTCTTTTTTAATAGACGTTTAAACCGGGCTGAAGTTACTTACCGAGCAAGTCGAGGCAACCCTATTGTTCCTATTGTGTTCTTTCAAGAAACGACTATCCACTTCATTATATATGGAGGAAGACACTTAATTACTATGGAGGAACGCATTTTTACCTAGCTAGCTAGACACCTACTAGGCACTAAAATAGTAAGGAGGAACGCATTTTTTCCCAAGGTTATAACAATGGGTGATGTCATGGACTCGACCATTATGCATATTAATAAAGGGAACGCACACGGAACTCAAAGGGAACGGACAAAAGAGCCTAAAATGACCCTCTATGTCAAATGATTTTTAGACCTTTTTTTTTCCTAGCGTGATGTTGTTGTATTTCGCTCTTTCATAGAGGGGCGTCTAATACGAACTTAAAAGAGTAGTGGTGGGAGGGGGGTGTTTATCAGACAAGAGGCATTTATTTGAGAGGGGACGTTTGTTATTACGGTATGCAGATCTGTGAGAGTGTTATGATAACACCCTCTTCGAACTGCATAATTTTTCATATCATACTCGGCCTAATCACATAAATTGCAAATTGAATTAAAGTTTAATGGCCGGGTCGTCCACACGAGTATGTTTAATTTAATCTGTAATCGCTTACGAACGTATTGTCGGTTTCGACCACTCTCCGCCCTAGAACTCATAAACATAAAGGGACTCGTGTATGTACACAAAGCTTAACGCAAGGTTAAATCCCTAAAACCACCATGACGGTCATTTTACTACAACTACCAGAACACTTCAGAATAATTTGTTATTTAAACCTTTAATCAGTAAACACGCGAGGGTCAGATTTGCGGGTACTTGTAGTCAAATAAAATCCTTTGAGCACACAAAATCACGACAATTGTACAAATGTCTACAATATTTTTCTTGTTCTTTAACAGTTACTTCTCAAGAAATTAAACAACTTACAGGGTACGCAAGTTTGTAAGTCCAGCAAAAGTGCGACCATTAATTTGGGAGATAGAATTGAAGTTTAGGTTCCTGGGGACGAAAAAGAAGAGAAACAGGGAAATATTTACAGCCTCTCTTTTTTTGGATACACACTAAGGTGCATTTATTCTAGTAAGTAACGTTAAGCAACGTCATTTTTGATACTTTCCTGTTTGGAAGATATTGATATTCTAAAGAAGTAAACATACATAAACTCCACGTAAAATTAAAGTCAAAACTTACAGTTCAATTAATTTGCTGCAGCTAGAAAATACTTTATCCGGTAATGATTGTAGTTTGTTTGAAGACAAATCTCTTCAAGAAAACAAAAGAAGTTTAGTTTAGTAAGAACATAAAGCATCACTTTAGAATAGATTGAAAGGGTTATTGCCAAGTAAAAATTAAATCACTCATAGTTTGGTTCCGTCAGAGGGCTCGTTTGTTTAAGGAAGAAGGAAAAACGCAGGAAACGATTTTCGACATTTGCTCTGAGAGAACACGGTGGGGTCAAACCACCCCTCAAATGTCTTATTTAGGCTACCTAACTTTTACATTTCTTTTCATTTCTTGACCAAACTTGCCAGAAAGACTACGATTGTTGGCCAAATGATATAAGTTTTTGTTTGATTGTTACGTCACAACGGCTGACGTCACCTAAATGGTTTAAATGTAGTTTTTGATTTCAAAGTCAATTTTACATCATCTGAAAGAGCTTTAGAAGAGGAGTAAAACAGCGAAAACCGTTTCTGGCTACGACTCGTAAAACCCGAGTTATGGGACTTCAAAGATTTTTGAGTGCACACCCGGAACCATACTTTTCCTTAAAAATACGATCCCTATGATATTTTTTCACAGTTTTTTGCAAAATAAGCTGATTTTCTGGCAACACAAACCTTTTGTAGTTGGCCAAAATCGTATCATTTTAGATTTTCGTTTTTTTAATCAAAAACACTAATTTAAGCAAACCAAAAAATTGATCAGGTGACATTTTGATGTCACAAAACTGTTTTCCAGGTATTTGCACAGTTGAGAATTTCTTTTTTTCAAATTTTTCTTTTCCTTTTACCTTTCGACAGTAACGATGTGTTATGTCCAGCTTAAAAAGCAAGGGCGACTTGACAATAAAACTCTTAAATTTAGACTTATTTTACAAGGGGAGTACCCCGTTTTTGTGCTACAAATCTATCCAAATTCAAAATGCCATATTTCAGCTCATATTTGAGATACTGAAGAAATTTTTTCAGCTTTCAACTTCCCTTGAATATTTCTTTTAAAAGCGGTATAAAATAGAGAGATTCAAAAGTTTAAAATTCACTTATGAATGACGTCACCAAATGTGACGTCATAATTTGACATTTGGTGTCATCCTCTAAGCTATTCTGATTTGCCTGATGTTTCGTATTTTCAGGCCAAGTTTGGTAAGGAGAGAGTTAAAGCTAACAAAGTTATTCTAAATTAACCAAATTTGCCACTCTTTGATAACTCCTTTGGAGGGTGGTTTGGCCCCACCATGAATGGAAAATTTGGTTTGATGAGCTTTCATGGCAGTTTTTTAATCTAAACGGTTAACGCTTTAGAAAAAGAGAGCGCACCCGTCAGAAGTGAGAACTTGCTATCGACTCCAAAAGCCAAATGCTTTTAATTAAAATAACACTAAATTGAAAACAGATTTGTATGGAAAGAAGTAAATTCACTCTCTGGCTGGGTGGCTGGGAAAAATAAAAAAGTCTGCGCCGTCGACCTGATTTGAAACTAAAGCCCCATTTACACTACACAAAAAAATGGGTCCGGACCTATTAAAAAGTGGTCCGGACCAATTTTTTTTTAACCGTTTACACGGATAACAATCAGGTTAGGCTTATGACTGAAAAGAGCCCTAATGCACACTGTTTACAATGCTGACTTTCGGTGTCCGGACCAGATTTTTGTTTGAGCCTTCGGTATCTTTCCTTATCGCTCAGTGGTAAATACACAAAAGGGTGCGCGAAGGAAAGAAACATGGCTGCCATTATGGCTGCCACTCTCTCACCATTTCCTTTTAGGAGGAGAGTGACTCCCTTTTCAGGGGAAAACTCCGCAGAAACATTGAACCGTTTTAGAAGAAAACGGAGAAGGAAAATTTTTAAGTTGCCAATTCTTTTAATGGCCTTCATAATAAGCCAATGCACCATCGAGAGAACCATATGGCAGCTTCCTAGAACAGGTGCGTGGTTTCAGCTTGCATTGAACGAGTTTTCAGACCAAGAATGGTACGAAAACTTTCGCTTGCCCAGGGCGACATTTCGATTTCTTGTTGAAGAACTTAAACCAGAACTGACATTGCAAGATACAAAGAAGAGGAAAGCTGTTGAAGTAGAAAAGAAAGTGGCTCTGTTCTTGTACTTCATTGCTTCAACCGCAAGTTATAGAACGCTTTCTAACCTGTTTGGTTTATCCAGGGGCTTTGTTTGCATTTGCATCCGCAAGGTAGCCGCTGCAGTGTTGAGAAAACTCAAGCCAAAGTATATGTCAATTGCTAAAGGAGATGAACTTGCTCGCGTGAATGCTAATTATAACGAGAAATGGGGGTTTCCCATGTGTGCTGGAACAATCGATGGCACACATATACCGGTTTCAACACCACAGCAAAATCATGCAAGTTAGATCAACAGAAAATCGTACCGCAGCATTGTGATGCAAGCTCTTGTTGACAGTAATTACCTATTCTGTGATATTGTTGTAGGGTGGCCAGGAAGTGTACATGATGCAAGGGTCTTTTCGAACTCACAGCTGTACGCTCTGGGGTGTAGTGGGAGGTTATTTCCACCAGATGTGAAATAGGAAATTTTGGGGCAGGAAATTCATCCGGTTATCTTGGGAGATCCAGCCTACTCCATGTTAAATTGGCTACTTAAAGGTTACCCAGAGAATGTTAATACCCCCAGGATTCAGAGGTGTTTTAATTATCGTCTCAGTAGAACCAGGATGACAGTTGAGAATACCTTCGGACGCTGGAAAGGAAGGTTTTCAAGATCTCTAAGCGCCAGGATATGGAGGTTGATGGCAGCGTGGCCGAGTGGTCAGCACGTCGGACTCGCAATCCGGCGGTCCCGGGTTCGAGTCCCGCTCTGGCCACTTGCTGGATTTGTGCTCGGTCGTCCCGAATACAAATTCTCGGCCACGCTTGTAAATAGCCAACTGGTTGCCTTCTGCCAGTTGGGGTTTTAAAATCCTGTTATGTTGTATTTGAATTATTCGTTTCTAAATATTTGAGTGGAGTGCCTGTAAATTAGCTGGACAAGCTAAGTGCAATTTCCACTATAAATAAGCCTTTAACCTTTTTAACCTTTTTTTTAGTCAAGGTAGTAGCAGCTGCTTGTATGATTCATAACATCTGAGAGATGAGAAAGGAACCCTATTTTGCAGAGTGGTTACAAGAAGGTTTTGAACAGCCTGAGGAGGAAGTAATCCAGGATGGAACAATTGACGAACTGCCTGGATCTGATGTAAGAGACACTCTTGCTGCTTTTTTTGTGTCACCCGTAGGCCAAAACTTGGAATTGGAGTAGACTTCCTGTTGTTGTTTTTATTTAACTGGAGATCAGTGACATATCTTCATGTTACTATGTTAGAAGAGACCCAGCTATCGGTAAATGTTACCAATGATGGTCAGCATAAAAGAAATGTTGTGTTAACACTAAACAACAGCTGAACTGTTGTTGTTGTTTTGTTTTTGCCTTAGTGACATTTCTTTACGTTGCTATGTTGGAAGAGACTTAAATAAAATGTTACCAACAATGGTCACCACAAAAAAGCATTGCGTTATATTTATTTCAGGAGGTAATGAAATATTACAGAAATAGAACCTGTCTAGTTTAGTTTTGCAAGATACTCATAATGCTTGTTTGTTTTAATTTACAACGATCAATCCATTGAATTTCACGCATTGAATTTCACCCATTGAATTTCAAAAGAATAAACAGCTCTTTGGTTGTTCCCAGGTAACTCAACGAATAAATGCTTAATTAAAAAATATATATATGTAATAAAAACAACAACTATTCTTGTTTTTGTTGCTTGTGAACAGGCTCTTTAGTGGTGAGTGGGATGCGCACTGACAAATCTGTTCACCAATGCTTCTAGTGACTGGCCATCTCCCACTAAAGAGCTAATTCACAGGTTGACGTGCCCCAGTGATAACTAAATTAAACAATGGTAACTTTACTGCCCCCTCTTGGGATGTTATCTTTCTTCATCTGGAGTTTGGACTCAAGTTTACAAAGGGTAATAACTGTGTCTATCAAAAGAATATTCAGATTCCTGCTGCCCCGGAGTTGTCCATTGAGAGTTACAGCCTCTCATTTGCATCATCATTTGAAGGACATGTAATTCATGCTCTCTTTCTTTTCTTCTCATTTCAAGTCGCAATTTTAACTCCCTCTCATGCCTCTTCTCTTCCATTTCTTAAAAACCTGTGAAGGGTGCTAGAAAACAGTAAAAAAAAAAACTTGGTACAGCAAGAGTCTAAAAAATGACAACAATGAACATCATTTTCATTTTTTTCATCATCATCACCATCATCATGATCATAATTACTGCCATTATGATTGTTTTAACAGTCACAACATTTTCTTTTCAATCTTCCAAAAATACCAGGGTTTTGTTATCCCTTTGTATTCTGTCCACACATCCTTAATTAGCACACAGTCTCCAAACTAATTCTTGCTAAAACATTTTAAAAACCTTGAAACTAATTAAGAACCTGTATTTATCTCTTCATCTCAGCTTCTGAGGATTCACGGAGACTCAAACACACTGTTTCAATTGACTTCTCCACTTTTGTTTTCTTGGAACTTTTTGGTGTGGCACCTGTGAGGCACTAAGATCTCTTCCTTTCAGAACTACTACAATCAGTGTCTGAGACTACATCACTTTCTTTCTCAGAATGCACTTCTGAGCTATTTTCTGAGGTTTCTGTTCTGCCAAAAAGTCAATTATAACAGTAAATGAGTATGTTGCAGTTAATTTTTGTTTTCAGTTAAATTTTATTTTTCCATGTTTAAAACTCATTATCATACATCACATACCTAAAAACAAAGGAAAACTGATAAACTTTAACTGTAGAAACAAAAAATTAACTGTAACATGTACATGCACCACACAGTTTGAAAACCTTGTTAACTCTCATTCCCATCCTCATTATTTTTTTTTAACTGACAGGTTATCTAGTAAAGATACCCGGAATATATTCATTTGGTGTATGATTTGAAAAATAACAGAGCTTATTTAAATCAAATGCACCAAAAATATTTTTTTTTGGATTGTTAATCTAAAAACACAACAGCAACAAGAACAAACACTCTACCATTTTCAAGAGAGCTTCAATTGTAGACTTCACTATTGTGATTACTAGAGCTGCTACCCCACAGATGCGGTGGGTCAATAGTTGGGTTATCTTTAAAAATTATGTCCATTTTTTCCATGAACTTCCAGGGCTTCTTGGGTCTCGAATTTCCGCTCTTCTTGGCACTATCCTTCACATCTTTGTATTTTGCACGTAGTTTTTTCAATTTGTCCGTAATTGCCGCGACAGTTTTCATCATTCCTTTTTGAAACAACTAGAAAAACGAAATAGCATTAGAGCGAAATGAAACACAGTGACCTGATTAAAACTGTCAGAAGGAAGGATTTTAGCATAAAAACTTACCGTACTGTTCTAACTTCTTCTGAACTTCCAGGTACACTGCATTTTTTGTCTTTCGGGCATTTTGCTTTCTCTAGCCCTATTTGAATGGTCTCTTCGGCAAAAACGTCTAATAGTAGGCCAACTTCTTTATCAGTCCACCCAATCGTTTTCGTTTTCTGCGTTTTTGACACCATCGACGCCATCTTGTAGAAAATAGAGGAATAGTACACATGCGCGAAACCACCGTAAAGCACGGCAGGCTCACATGAAAAACATGGTACAGATAGTACGGAACGAAGATGCGTTCACACAGCGCTTTCGATAAGGAAAAGGGGTCCGTACTCGTTTTTTTTTTCGGTTTTGGGGCCATAGCCGCCTATGGCCCCAAAACCAGAAAAAAGCGAGTCTCGTGGACTTTAAAATTTTACCTATTACGTATATATTCAGCTAAGAATTCGATAAATGTACCAAACAAAATTAAATGCGGGCTCGAGGACATGTATTGCTGGTTTTCATTGTCACGCCATTCAACCATAGATCAAAATAAAAATCAAAACCGTTCAATAGATGAAGTCCAGAATCTGGGAAATGAAAGGAGGTAAATATAAAGACCCTCACCAAGATTCAGGTCAGAAGGATATTCCGTATACGAGATATCCGAAGAAATGTCTTACCCAAATTTATAGAGATTTGAATGGAGATGCCATGCTTGTGCCCACCTGCAGGGGCACCAACACCGCGGACGGAAACCCACAAAAACATCTGTTACCGAGTTTTGGTACAAAAGCGTGAATTTATTCCCCCGAAGAACTCATAAACATTAAAGTAATACTTTTTCTAATACATGAACTGTTAAGATAGCGAAATTCCCCGAAATACCTCGCTTTTTTTAACCTACATGACAACTCTCTTGGCAGTCATGTAAATGCAACATCACGCAAAAGCTTAGAAATTCAAGCGTACTCTATCGCAAAACCAAGAACCCTCTTGAAGCGAAAATTTGTATGAAAACTAGTTTACAGCTGCTCTAACACTTCATGAAAGTAAAATCTCAGTAGGACCGATAGGTTTTTAGTTTGAACTTTAGTGACGTCCTGTGAAAACCAACAATAACGTCATGCTCAGTTAACTAAGGGTCGATTTCCAGCGTCGCGTAATTTTTACCTGAGCACGTAAGTAAAATTTACGTTCACAAATAAAATAGAGGCAAATGCATGAAAGGTCACTCGTAACTCGTAAGCGTAAAAGTTAAACCTCGCCAACTTCTCATTTAAGCTCAGCACTTCATCTTGCCTCTATTTTATTTACGTGATTAAAATTTACGTGCGTTAGCGTGCGCAGCCAAAAACGTGTCAGTGGAAATCAACCTTAAGGACCGCACGTATGCATCTATTTAACATTTCAGTTACTGTTTTTGCCTGTTTTCAATACAGGAAGATAAATTGAGTTGTCGGGTGCACTGTCGTTTTTGTTGTACTTTAATTTTTAATTTCTTAGTTTATCATAGATTGGAGCATGAAAATTTAAATTGGATTTATTTTCTACTCCCTGTGAGGTGTTTAAAACAAAAAGAAAGCACATTTTAGATCTAAATGTAAATCAATGAAATCAATGTAAATCAATGAAAATCGAAAATCTCTCAAGATTGCGGCTTTGATTTGTATTGATTTGCAATTGCTGATATTATATTGCTATGAGCCCGCGAGTCGGTTGGAACCGTAAAGGCGTGGAAACTATATATGACGTGTGTACGACCCATGTTTTTAGTTCTAGTTCTGACTTTACATACTTGTGAGACCTAGCTGAGTTGTGTTGATGCAGCACTTGTCAACATGGTGGCAGTGATTTTTCCTTGGTAAAGGAGTCAAACTCGTTCTGGAATACGATTGAGAACAGGATAACAATATTTTCCACATGGAGATGACAATTCCATTTAACGCCAAACTTGGATCTGACCGATGGTAATCTTGCTGATAGTTTTAGGAAATGGAAGCGTCAATTGGAAGTCTACATGGAGGCTAGTGGAGCTAATAACAAGCTGAAACAGCGACAAACAGCGATCATTTTACATTGTGCTGGCCCGCAAGTTCTCGAAGTCTATGACAAAAACGACCCAGTGAAGGTCCTTGAAAAGCTTGAAGAGTACTTGAACCCGCGAGAAAACGAAGTTCTTCAAAGTTTTCGATTCTGGAACATACCATTCCACGAGCCTTTTGGTGTATTCCTAACAAAGTTATATTCTCGTGCCGCCTCGTGTAATTTCAAGGAGAAAGAGCGAATGATCAGAGACAAAATTGTCTTCAGTGCCTCCGGCAAGCTGGAAGAATTATTGCTTGGTGAGTCAAACCTAGACTTGAAGAAAGCCACAGAGATCTGCCTTACTTCATGAGCTAAAAAGGAAATGAGTCCACCAAGTGAAGGATACCCGATTGATATAATAGAGGCACAACATCAGAAAAAGCAAAACAATGCTGTTAAACCTCAGCAGAAAGATGGTCCCCGTGTCCTTAAGGAATGCAATTTTCCCGGCCAATCGCATGAAGCAGCAAAGACACAATGTCCTGCCTGGGGGAAAACCTGCAATTACTGCAAGGGCAGAAACCATTATGAAGTCAAATGTAAGAAGGTAAATTTACTCAATGCAGGGAGAGACTCTGATGAATGTGATGGACAGTGGTTAGCTGTGGTAGGGGCTGATCATAAACGTGTAACTGTCTTGATGCAAGTTAATGGTTGTGAAGTCAGATTTCAGTTAGACTCTGGTGCTGACGTAAATATAATATGCCAGAAAATTGTGACGAAATCTCAAGTGAAATCCACCTCACAGAAATTGATTATGTGGAACAAATCAAAGGTAACTCCTTTTGGATAAGTTACTTTGGAAATCTTGAACCCTAAGAATACACAAGTAAGTAAAACCGATTTCATTGTTGTCCCAAATGGCCTAAAAACTGTGAAAGAAATGGGACTCTTTACCATCAACAGAGAGAATTTCATTGCTGAAGTGACCAGTGATACAAGGGAGAAGCAAAGCTGCACGTTAATTCAAATGTTACATCAAGAGCATTACCCTGCCAAAACTTGCCATTTGCATTGCAAGAGGATGTCAAAAATGAGCATTACCCTGCCAAAACTTGCCATTTGCATTGCAAGAGGATGTCAAAAATGAACTGGACCGACTAGTGGAAATTGGAGTTTTGGCACCTGTAGAGGAACCAAGAGAATGAGTAAGCCAGGTGGCTGTTGTCAAGAAACCAGATGGATCGCTAATGTGTTACCCACTCTGAACAATGCCAAGATATTTAGTAAACTTGATGTAAAGCACGCCTTTTGGCATGTGCAGCTGGACAGTCCATCTAGTCTTTTAACAACCATGATCACCTGGACCGGACTCCCTTTCGGATTAAGGGTTAGCAGTGAGATTTTTTAAAGAAAGCTGAACGAAGCGCTCAGTGACCTCAGCGGTGTTATCTGTATTGCAGACGGCCTGCTAGTGATGGGTTGTGGCAACACAAGAGGGTAGGTACGTGGTGTAAACATCATATAGTGGTTCCCCGTTAGTTAATATATGGTATACATTGCTCTCCATAGCTTTACATAGTCCTACATAGCCATACATAGCCATACATAGCCATACACAGCCATACATAGTCCTACACAGCCATACATAGCCCTACATAGACCTACATAGCCCAACATAGCCATACATAGCCATAAATAGCCCTGCATAGACCTACATAGCCCTACATAGCCCTACATAGTCCTACATAGCCATACATAGCACTAAAAGGGGGTGGTAGGCCTACACGACTTTTACCTCATGCCAAAATGCTGCTTATTCCAATAAAGTTGTTTTTATCTGCTGGGTAGATTATGCTCTGGAAGGTTCTGCAAATGTGATTTTAGCCCCATGTTTCACACTGAGAGGTCATGACATACATATGGATTGTCTGTAGCTATTGTTTTCTGGTCGGCAGGATTTGCCCTCTGATGCAAGCGCATTTTCTTTGACCTCTTTTGAAGCGTAAAGCTTTTTCATTACGGCTGAATAAGGGTTCCAATTTTCTCCAAAGTGCCTTCTGGATCTGAATAACTAAGCGATTTTCTTTAGTCCGTGAGTGTAATGTTCTTCTGCAATGCTTTATCACGCTGGGCCCAGCTCGTCAGTTTTCCTTGCAGAATGTTAAATTATCACGGATACTGACTTACAGATCCAAAATTATAAGAGTAGAACGCAGCTTAAACTGAAGCTACATAAACTTACTATGGAGAATTGAATTGTGACTCAGTAAACTCCAGCTTAGTGTTTTTCTACAGATAGTGTGAGTCTTTTGACTGGAGCGCGTAGTCCCTCCCTTGGTAATAGCTTTGAATAAGCTTAACAGTCTTTAAACTGTTTTGTTATTGCCACAGTTTGTGATCAGGCAAGACCATGGTTTCGGTTCTCCACACGAACCTCATCAGTTGCCAGGTTGGCTTTGTGCTTGGTTGCTTTTGCATGAGCAACTTAAGTTGTACTTTGTTGTGGCGAGAACGGTAAAGCCGTTTTGTCTTTTGAGCTTTGAACTTGAACATAAATAGGGCTATGTATGGCTATGTATGGCTATGTATGGCTATGTATGGCTATGTATGGCTATTTATGGCTATGTATGGCTATGTAGGGCTGTGTAATGCTATGTAGGGCTATGTAGGGCTATGTATGCCTATGTAGGGATATGTAGAGCTATGTGTGGCTGTGTATGCCTATGTAGGGCTATGTAGGGCTATGTGGGGCTTTGTATGGCGAGGTAGGGCTATGTAGGGCTATGTAGGGCTATGTAGAGCTATGTATGGCTATGTAGGGCTATGTAGGGCTCTGTATGGCTATGCAGGGCTATGTAGGTCTATGTATGGCTATGTAGGGCTATGTAGGGCTATGTTGGCGAGGTAGGGCTATGTAGGGCTATGTAGGGCTATGTAGGGCTATGTATGGCTATGTAGGGCTATGTAGGGCTCTGTATGGCTATGCAGGGCTATGTAGGTCTATGTATGGCTATGTAGGGCTATGTAGGGCTATGTAGGGCTATGTAGGGTTATGTACGGCTATGTACGGCTGTGTATGGCTATGTATGGCTATTTATGGCTATGTATGGCTATGTAAGGCTATGTATGGCTATGTAGGGCTATGTAGGGCTATGTAGGGCTATGTAGGATTATGTACACT